TTATTATTATTGCAGCTGCATACATTTAAACTGTTATGCATGTTAGATTTTGAGATTTGTAGGTAGAAATATTTTTCAAGTTTTGTTATGAACACAAGATGATTATATTTGATCTAAAAATCTTGTGTTTCCAATTTGTATTTGAAATATTATCTGTCACGTTATGCAAAATTAGAGGAGAATCTTGCTTACGATAGGGTAAGTGCCCATTTGCCCTGCTTCCTGATAGTAAGAAGTACTTTAAAAAAGAAAAATGGAGGAGGGAGAGAAAGCCTCTTGGAAGTCTGACTTTAACCTCATGCTCCCCACAAAATGTCCTAGATTGTCCTGTTTTAATTTCCTAAGTGCAGTATCTTGCAGAGATACTTAGTGTGCTCTCAGGGTGTGAAATTTCCTCCCATATATTTATTGAATCAAAATGATTAGCAGAACCTGAAAATAGCTTATAAGGCAATGAAATAATACTTTCACTTAAATGTTTTTAATATTGACTGCTTAAATAGGTTTAACCTCCTCATGTCTTGAGAGAGATTTGCCTAATCTGCATTTACTTGGGTAGAAATTTCCCTCTAAGGACATCTTACGTTGTGTCCATTGTGGTGGATTTGTGATTCATTTGGTACTGGTGTTTGACGGAGATGCGGACTGTACAGTGGGACTGTAAAGTAGATGACAAATTATTTCTAACATAAGATGGAGGTTCAAGTGAGGTCACTTTACCTTTTCACACGTAAGGTGCATGTCTGGCCAAACTCTGCGTGTGCAGTTTGCTTTTCAAAAATGGTAAGTTCGATTTGTAGGTATTCAGGGTGCTGCTCCTTGATGTTTGGGAGCTGTGCAGTGTATTTCATCATGTTAAGAGGAATGGACTTTTTTGTATTTGAGTAGGCAAATGTCGAGGAAAAGTGTAGAAGTCAGCAGCAAGTCATGTCAGTGGTTCAGTAGGTGGCACTCTTTCTCTGAAATTACTGTCCTGCTAAAGTATTTGTAGGAACGATTTGGTGAGAGGCGTTTGTTGAACGTGACATAAAATATATTTCAATAACTTGATTGCTGGAGCTCTTATAATGCATTTTCCAGGGTTATCAGATTGTTAACCTTGCTTGTAATGTGTAATTGCGTTTTGTCTACTACAATTCCTCTCGTAATTCCAGTAGGATGCAATAGCATTCTGTACTTTTTGCCTTAAGCTGATTTATAGATGTGCTGTGGAAAGAGGAGGTGCTGTTTTGTCAGAGACAGATTAAGTGTTTCATACTATTTTTAGAGTTTTTGTGTTAAGTCTATGTAAAATGTTGCAGTAGAAATGTTGAAATGAAGTGGTTCTCCAGCAGTGCCTATTGTGGGAAACTAGTACCGCTAACAAAAGCAAGAATTTTAAGTGTGATAGGATTTTAATAAAAAGAATTAGCACGTGTATAGTATTCTTTGAAAACATGTTTTTGTTTTCTGAATACTTAAAATATATTCCTTTTAGGAGGTAGGCAGGGATAAGGATGCTGAATTGGCAAGCTACTTTAAACTAGGCTATAATTAAGGTTGAAATGCCAAAATAATAAATGTGTCTCTTTTTTTTTTTAAAAAAAAAAAGTGTAAAAAAAAATACTGTCTTGAAAAAATAACACTAAATTTTTCCAGGCAAGCCGTATAAAATGCTGAGCAGTGTCTTGGGAAGATGTATTTATCTAATAGGAGATAATCTTTCTTTTGTAAAATCTTTCTGTTGTGAAATATAACTAGGTTTTCTGTGTAAGTTAAAGACATTTGGCCATGTTTATGAGTTTTCTTTTAAATATTTCCATTCCTCATTTTTCTCTCATTGTGATATAATCAACAGTTAAAAAACACAACTCTGCAACAGTAGGAGTTTAAATAGATATCTTAATTTTTGTGACATTCATGAGGTGCAAAAGTGCTGTGGCTTTTTTCATATTCCAACACTCATTTTCATAAAATGTCCATTTCAAAGAAAGTTATTGTGTGGTTTTAATACACTATACATACTTTTAAATTGTCACCAGGTGCATTTGCATGAAGTATGTGGACATAATGTCTTGAAATGAAACACTTAACTGTGTTGAAGATTTATTGTATGTTTGGAATGCTTGTCTGATTAACCCTTCCCTAGTCCTTTTATCTAATAGTGTCCTTTAACATGGACTTGTTTTTTTATAGTCTTGCACTATTAAGACGCAATGACCTAACTATGACAGATACGTGAAAGGAAAGCATGTATGTTGGGACTCAATGCACATGTGTTTTTAATTAAATAGAATACGAAGGTTGATAGTGGTGTGCCAAAACTTGCTGTATAGGACATTAAGTAATTACTGTATGTGACAGTCCATTCTGAAATGGGGAGCTACCTTTTTTTTATGTAAAATAGTTTTAAATCTTGTTACTGGTCAGTTCAGAGACTGAAAGAATTAAGCACTTCATGTGAGGAGCTGTATGAAAGTAGTTTGAGGATACCTTACATGCTGATTGGCATGAGGAGACAAGTTTGCCTAGGTCCAAACATAAAATAGAATGGCTTCTATTTATGGCATTTTTGGTAATACTCTGTTGGAGGGGAGGGAATCCATATGAAAAAGTAGGCAGAAAGGTGTTTGGCGGCACTTACTGGGCCTATGTCTGTAATGACATATTTTACACACATTTTGTGTACTTAGGTCATTCTGTTCTGATTTCAGATTCACATCAGAATATCCTCCTTGTGAATGCACTTGACTTTAGCGGGCCTAGAATGGTTAATCCAAGTAGAATGAGTCCCTGTATTTAGAATGCACATAAGACAATGTACATAATGATGCATAACTGTGTCTAGGTGTACTCTGGCAGTTTCATCTTCCTACATAATCCATGTCTGATTGAGTTAGTTGTACGTCTTTAAAAATCCAGTTTGCATTAGAAACATAGCCTGTTAAGTTAATGCAACTTTCTACTGACAGTCTGCTTGACATTCCATTTACTTACCTTCATTAATATATATTGGCTAAAAATATATTGTTCAATTGTGGTATGTTTGACTTTCAAGCAAAAGCTGATTTCTGTATTAAAACTCTTAAGCTGAACAGTAGTTTCATTTTCATAGTCCAATTAAGTTGTTTTATGGCAATATTATTCTTCCTTATAGTTAACACAAGAAGAATGTAGGGGTACACTATACAAATATAGAACTGAAGAGCTGGATATTGATGTAAGTAACTTGTATTTCTTCTTCCTTGGAAATGTTGGTATTTGTCTCTATTTTGATAATAATTTCCCCCTTCTGGGTTTGAAACGCAGTTCATATAGGTGATTACCAACAGAAACTGCTTTGTGAAATTAAGGTGCATAAGGTTCTTTTTGTAATAAGTTTCTAACTTGCAGGTAGTATTACATTTTACGCTGAAATTTCAAGTATTATATCTGTTCAAAGGTGAATTGCTTCTAGAAGGGAATTAATTACTTTATAAAGGAAAAGCTCTGTAGTTGTAGTTCAGTTATAAGCATGAGAGATGTAATTTCTCAAGAAATAGGACTGATATTCCAAAACTGAAATTTTGCATGGGTAGTTACCATTCAGAGTATTGGGCTGCTAATTAACTAAAGAAAAAGGGGTTTGGTCCCCTTTTAAAGTCAGTTTTAAAATTGGTGGTGAAAAATACGCACACATAGTCATACTGTACATGAATACATATGCATGTCTAGTCATTCTTGCACAACGCAACTAAGAGTAGAGATACTGATTTAGGGGATGTTATTTTAAGAGTAAAAAAGAAAGCAGGCTTTCAGTGTTATCTTAGCGTTAAAAAGTCAGAGCAGCACAAAATGAACCAAAAAAGTTGTTCAAATAGAAAAGCAATGTGATTCAAATTGGTTAGAGTGCACTGAACAGTTACTCGCTCAAACTGGAGCTGGAGTGGAACAGTTTTAGTCATAGCTAAGCCTCAATCGGAGGTAAAACAGAGCAGAAAATGGATAGTATTAGTAACTAACTATTAAAAACCTGAAATAAGCCATGGGAAAGACTGAATGTGTGCAATATTCTTTATAATACGGAGGAATATGTAACTTAAAATGGTATTTAACCTATGATACCTATTATTAAGTTGTAAAGATTTAACTGTAGAATCATAAATTACATGTTTTGAGCCATGCTGTTTCAAGCTATAATAACACTTATTTCATAGTATCTTAAGAAGGTTTCTTAAGGTTAATTTGAAAATACAACACTGATGCCTTCAGAGTTTTAGAACTCATTTTTGTGGTAATAAAATCTTACAGATTCTTACAATGATTTGATCAAGTTATATTTTGATTGCTGAAGATGTTAAAAATGAGATCCTAATTGCGATCATTTTCTGTTACATACTAGGCTAAGCTTAGCCGTTTATGTGAACAAGATAAAGCTGTACAAGCACTGGAAGAGAAGCTTCAACAGCTACACAAGGAGAAAGTAGGACAATTGTATTTATTACTTAAAGTGGATGTTATTTTACATGCTCATTATCAGAACATTGGTAACTGAAATAAAATGAAAATCAGCCCAATGATGCAGAACACTAAAAATAATTCTTTTTATTATAATAGTACACGCTTGAGCAAGCTTTGCTATCAGCAAGTCAGGAGATAGAAATGAATGCAGATAATCCCGCAGCCATACAGAATGTAGTCTTACAGAGAGATGACTTGCAGAACGGACTACTTAGCACTTGTCGAGAAGTATCGCGAGCTACTGCAGTAAGTAATACATTCTTACCAGTAAAACTCAATGAAGTGTTAAACTATTATCTTCACATTTGTGTTCTTAATTGGGTTGTCTTTGGTTATTTTTCATTACGTTACATCAAAACTCAGTTGTCTTTTACTTGCTTGTAGTTTTGTCAAAGGCAGCTGGAAAGTGATCTTTTCACTATATTCATTGAGCAGTCTTTGTTTACTTCTTTTTTTTTTTTTGGCTAGGAATGAGTGCATACTGACCTTAACTGGTGTGGTAATTTTCATCTTTATAATATGAAAAATTGATTACAGAAGTAGTAAATAATGCAAGTAAGCTATTTTATGTGATGGCAAAATAGTAGCAAGCACAAACTTTATCAGATATTCAATCAGATAGGTGACTTATTTTAAGCAAAAGGAGCTGCAGGATGAAAAGAAGAAAAGATTATATTGTCATGGTATCTCTTAATAGTGGGCCATTATATTTAAAAGATCTTTCAAGTTACGCACTTTCAAAAACCTTAAAAAAAAAAACCAAAAAAAAAAAAAAAAGGAAGGGAATTGCTATTTACTATCCTTTTCCAATTCACAATGGTTTCTACACTGAAATGACAAGGTTAAGAATCATTTTTGCGTACTTACATATATATCCAAAAAGGTATTTCAGTGTCAAATTCCAGTGGTTTGCTATGGTGAAATTGATACAAAGTAGGCCCTGAAATACTGGTTTTAGTCTGAACGTTAGACTATGTTGTAAAAGGAATTGGTTGGACAAGCAAAAGGGAATCAGGGGGGAAAGGAAATCCTCAAGATATACTTTCCCTCATTAATTTTTTAATTTATGCTAAATTGAGTAAATTGCTTGATATAGGCTTAAAAAGTGAGATGGTCGAGCTGACCTCAAAGAAGATTTTTCTTTTTGTGCCTTCTCCCTTCTGGTGTTTGTAGTTTCACGTGAGTAAAATAATGGTGTATTTGCAGGCCTGAGGCATTCACTGGTAACCTTACAGGCAGGGCTGGATGACTTACATTTGTCTTGCATCATACATTGCACATACACACGCATGCTGTGCACTCACACATGTATTCTATGTGATAAGAGCCAAATTTGCATCCGTTTTTGTGGGTTTTCTGCCTCAGTGGACAGACAGCTTAAGACCCACATGCCTGCTGACTATAAAGGCATATTCTGAAGATTTTGCCCTTGCCTATCTTTTTTGTTCGTGAAAAGACAAAATGCTGTTTGTTTGAGTTCCATTCAGTATCATTAGAAAATCAAAAATCTGTTTAAACATTGCATTCTCTAAAATAAATATTTATTTATTGCTATCATGCATTACTTGCTGAAGTTTCATGTCACTGAAATAAATACACTTTTTTTTTTCTTTTTTTAACTTGAATATGCATCTGTAATTCTTTACTTCTGTATATACTTAGGAACTGGAAAGAGCTTGGAGAGAATATGATAAATTGGAGTATGATGTAACTGTAACAAGGAACCACATGCAGGAGCAACTCGATCGGCTTGGAGAAATTCAGGTGTGGCATAGGTCTTGAAAGTGACTTAAATGTACTTTATTTTCTATGACTTTGTTTAAAAACTACACAAATTAAAAAAGGGGGGACGTGTGGTTCATCAGCTTACAAGGTATAAAAAGAAACTAAAAGTTTGTAAGTTCTGAGGAGGTCTTCAGCTTTTCCTGTTTTTTTGAAGTTACAGGACTGGTTTTCCTGTGTCTGGAAACCTCCTTTTTCTGTTTCAGTGATGGTGTCCAAAACTGGGTAGTTTCCTCAGACCTCAATTGCTATGACAGTCATAGTAAATCTTCACACAAATCCTTCCATTTAACTGAGTATTTTAAAAACTACTTAAATCATTCTATCAAAATAAATTATAATTAAAAATATTCTAAGCACTGCTTCAGGTCTTACGTATGAAGAGTTCTGACACGTATCTTATGAGCTTGCTGTGCTGTGGAGGATTGGACAGTTAGTATAAGTTCTAAATTTCTAAGGAGATCTTTCTGTGAGATGCACACACGCACACAGATGTGCATACATTATCTGGAATAGGCAGATGGGTGTGGTCCATGCTGGGAGGCATTAAAGGCTGTTTGCTCCAGGGATTGATCTTCTATGCAGCTATGAAAGGGAGATTACAAGGAAGCCCAAGAGCTGAGAAATTTGTGTTACGCAGTCCAAAGCACGCATGGCCGTGAATGCAAATAGGCCCACAGTTAATATGCTAGCATGCAAACACCATGTTCATCTCCACCTATTTTAGGGTTGGAACTGATGATTCCTTTTCATTGTATGTAGGTGATTTTCTTTGAAGACGGTTAGATACAATTCTATTCTTAAGTGGAGTTTGAACTAGCAAATTGGTGTCAAATTAACTGACACATTATGAAATTATTTAATCCTATACTTTTTGCTTCTGACAATATTTGAATGTTGCATTTTTATGAGAGAGTGTCTGTCATTACTGCATTTTATTCTCCTTTGTTGGGAAAGGATATGCAGTGCAGCCTAAAGAAAGAAAAAGGTTTTCTGTTTTTTTCCACCTGCAATGTATTGTAACTTATCACCTATATGTGCTGTTTATTTACTGGCAGACTGAGTCAGCAGGGATACAGCGTGCTCAGATTCAGAAGGAACTGTGGAGAATTCAAGACGTCATGGAGGGTTTAAGTAAACATAAACAGCAAAGAAGCTCTTCAGAGGCAGGTAAGCTGATTGACTTTATCTCAGAGGAAGTGAGACTGGATCATACACATTTTTAAAGGATAACCTCCATAGTTGCTTTTGTACGTTTGAAAAAATGGTACAATTGCTGAGAAAAGAAGAAAGCAATCATCTATTTTAAGTTGATGCTTTGTGTATTTGATAGCAACAGGTTATAGTTCATATTTTAAAAGCTATTTACTGAAAACAATTTTTCTCTTTCTTTCTGTGCCTTTCCCCCTCCCGCCAAACAGGCATCATGGGATCAAGGACATTTTCAGCTATTAAATATAAAAATGAGGTATGGTGTTAGTATATTTACCATTTTAGCATCACTGAATTTCTAATATACATATAATAAAAATAAGCATTATTATAATTGTTTTAAGGATGTCTGAAGTATGTATTCAGTATGTTTCTATGAAAATATTGCATTGTGAACTAGTTTTAAAGACTGATATCGCCACTAATAATTCTAACACTTTCATTTGTTCTGTGTCTTTATATTCTCACTGGTATGTTTCTCTTTTCCATTTCTCACCTTTTCCTCTCCCTAGGCTCTTACCCTAGAAATATAAACCCTGATTTATGGATTTGTTTTCTACCCACCACACTTTTCATGGGAAGAAATACATCGCTTTATATGTCTCTTCACATATTAAGCCTGGTTCTCAGATGGCCAGAGCACCCACAAGAACAGCTGAAACTGTGGGAGCTCCCAAATGTTCAATTCCTCTGAAAATCTGGCTAGAAGTTACAGTATTAAAGGGACATTGTCATAGTTGTCTAAGTTTATGCAATACACATTTGGCTTACAGAACTTTCTAAAAGTCTAATTTATATACAAATCTTTAAAAAGCTATTGAATTTAATTTTATAAGGATATTTCAGAGAGTTCATACATGTCCAACAGTAAGTGCAGGTGTTAGAATTGAAAATCTTGATAAGCTGAATAATGAAACTATTGAAGTATCTCAGTCTAGGTGGTAGCAATAAAATAAAAAGCAAACACAAGAACAAAAAAACCCCAAAGAAAGTAAAGCTGTCTTGGCCTTTTTTCTTTTTTTTTTTTTTTTGTTTTTTTTTTTTAGCATGACATTGTCCCTTTAATTCCAAAATCTATAGCTGGTGTAGCTATGGTAACATATTTTTCTTTTTAAGTTATAAATAATTGTAACAGGTGTGCACATCTAAATAAGGTGACTATTCTACAATCTTTAGGAAGAGGAAGTAGTCCCACCTCGTCCTCCACTCCCTCGGTCCTATGACTTTACAGAGCATCCTCCCATAATCCCCCCTCTGCCCAGTGATAGCAGCTCCTTGCTCTGTTATAGCAGGGGCCCAGTACATCTGCCAGAAGAAAAGAAGATTCACCAAGTTCAAGGATATCAGAGAAATGGATCTTACTGTGTAAGTGGCTTAAACTGCCACATTGTTCTTGAAGCATCCCCCTTCCTTTGCACAGTCACAATTTTTGTTTTGTCATCTGGCTACTTTTGTGTTATGTTTTTACTTTTGGCTACTTAGTTTTATTTATAGCTCCATCATTTGCTCTTTGCATTTTCCTGTCATATATTCTGTGCATATATAAAATGTCTTAAGGCTCAAATGCCTGTATCTGAGTAGATTTCAGAAAATAAAATTCTTCTACTCGCAAGTTCATAAAAAAGTCTAGGCTCAGAATCAGTTTTTGCTGAAGCCTTATACAAATTTGTTTCCTGAAGATCATTTAAATGAAAAGAAACCTCTGCATTTTTATGGCAATTTTTTTCTGTAATTTCTGAAAGTCTGTAAGTGTTGTTACTCAAATTAACTACACAGAAATACTGCTGCAATAGCACTTGAGCAGTGAAACATTGTCCTAAAGTGAGAGCAGAGTCATCACAAAATAACTTGTTCAGAGTCTTAAGACATAAATGCTTATACAAAAATGTCTGTTTATTTACCTCATAATTTGTCGTTCCTCAGGGTCCTGATTATAGGCTTTATAAGAGTGAACCAGAATTAACTACAGTAGCAGAAGTGGATGAGTCTAATGGCGAAGAAAAAACAGAACAAATTTCAGAATCAGAATCTACAGCTAAAGGTGTGTCCCCAGGCATGGTGTTTACAACCTTTCAGCATTTTTCACAAGGAATACAAAGCTTTAACTGTGTTATAGAAGCTATATCATCCTTCGTATTTTTGTAGCCTGTCCATTTCTTAATATGATGAAACAGCTTCCATGATAAAATAATGATTTAATTATATGACGAGAAAGATTTCAGTCAATTACACTGCAGAAAAATCAAACATTACACTCACCAACAACCCTGAAATCCTTATTGACACCATGTCTAATCACATCACTCACATTCCCCACACACCATTCCCTTGAACAATTACCCATTTTATGTTCTTGCCCTTGAACAATTATTCAGTTTTTGAATCAAGCTCCCGATGTTATGTCACTGGAACGTCCAAAAAGGCAGCACCACAGAATTTTCAGGCTCTCATAAGGCAGGGAAACAATGTCTTTTTCTTTTTTTAATCTTGTAATTGTTGAATTGCCTTCTGTCCTCTGATATAATAGGAATAATGATCATGACCTTGGAGTGTACAGACAATAAAGGTCTTTGCAATTGCTAAATGCTTTAGATTCTTCTCTTCATCTAGCTTCCATAAAAGCTACTAATTGCTTGGTAGAGTCTTTTACCAGGAAGTGCTTCTCAATTCTGTTTGTTAAAACACACAGAATAGTTTGTTAAAGGTGACTTCAGGAAAAGCATTTGAGCACCTCCCAAAAACCGTATTAAGAGCTTTTAGAAAAAGTAACTAAACTTCACCATTTTTTTTTTACCATAACAATTGACGTTTCTAGCGCTAGCGAGATCACTGCTTCTGTTATGGTAGTTTGACTAAGTATGTACATAGCAGGCTGGTGCAACAATACCAGAATTTGACCAAGAACTATGATCATATAAGGATATTATTTTCATCAGAACAGTAATGGAGCTTTTTAAAACTAAGGTTAGCATACAGTTTGGGTGTAAACAATGTGAATGGCCCTATGATAGATGACATAATTAAGCTTGCACTTACCAGACAATTAGTCAATTCAGATTCACTATCGTATTTGCTGAGGTATAATGTTCAGTTAAGATAGATATTAAATCTCTTTTAACTTGGTGGTGAAAAGTGCAGGGTTTAGCCTGAGAATTGCTAATCATCAGCCACCTGAATTGAGGAAGTTGCCTTTCTGACAACATACTTAGGTTTTATTGACCTGTGGTGTTCCAGATTGTTTATATGAATTTATGACAAGAGGGAAAGTAATAGTCAAGACAATATAAGAAAGCCTGCACTGATTATATAAAGCAAACCAATACTTTTTGAGCACCCGGATCTGCTTTCTGTCTTCTTCTGTAAAGACAGAAGTAATTTTATTATGTCCGTTTGTAGAAAAACAGTCCACAGTAAGGGAAAGCAATAATACAAATTCTTCTAATATAAATAGTATTTGGGGTTGGGGAAGAGAGTAGCTGCAGTGGTAACAAGCAGCAAGAGGCTTTTTATCTTCTTAAACAACAGTGTGAAGTGGGTTTATCATAGCTGTGGTTTATCATCTGGTTCACGCTTTTGAGCATGTGAATTTTCTAACAGATATTTCTTGCTCTGTGTATTCACTTACAATAACAATCCCCATGCAGTAGGAAAAATATAACCATTCGTGGTTTTTTTTATAGTGCTTATGCCATTGCAACTATCTGCTGTTTCAACAAACATTTTTATGCCATTCTATCTTAACAGTTTATAAGCTGAAAAGGAAACAAACTCAAAGGCAGCTCATCTCTGCACTTTTTCTTGCTTGCTGTTTTAAGAAGTCATACTTAAATGACGTAGTTTCCTATTGAGGGGCGTTCTAAAAATCAGTAAATTTCAGAGGAAATTTAAAAAGTGTTTTTCTAGTTCATTGTGCACATTACTGTACTAGACACTTCCCATGTTTCTTTGCTAGCCACTTCCCTCTCTTTTCAAATGTCAGCAATCAAAGAGAAACATTTTAATGGGACTATGTAAAGTAACCCTTACAGCTGTCTGCAAGCAGAGGACTATTTATGACCTTAGTGGTACATAAAGGTGACACAAAAGGAAAATGGACTTCTGCTGTGTTTTATGCTTTTTACATCTAAAGGAGACCCAAACTGTTGCTTTATAGTTTTTTGTTTTGCATGATGGATTTGGCATTCAAATACCTCCAGACTGTTTTGTCAGCCTATCAAACAATTTGGAGAAAGAGTTGGGCTTTCACCAAGTCAGTATATCCTCTGAAATCTGTGCAACTTCAGGAAAAACAAGGAGAAATAATTTGGCTATCAAAGACGACATTATATCTACTTTTAGGCAAAATCAGCAAGGAAACAATGTTTTTAATAGTTTGATTTCCTGCATGTATCAAGAAGTGAAAATGAAGCATGTGTTATTTAATGATATGTCTATCTTTTGGTAAGTTTTAACTTCAGTTTTCTACCAGCTTAATTACATTTTGGCAGGGCTTCTCTAAGTAGAAAAACTAGTGGAGGATATTGTTATGAGAGGATGAATGTAGTGGATATCAGGACACAGAACATCCTCAGCTCCCGACCAGACAGAGCCTGGCTGCTGCGGTTCCCTGTCCCTAAGTACAGCGAGCTGCAAGGCTGAGGACATAGTCCTAACTAACCGCAACAGATAACGCAAACAGGTTTGGGACCAGTGCTGTTGCAGGCGCCGCATAAACAAGACCAGCACTCACATGAAGGTGAGACGGCACAGATAGCATGATCCTGTTCTCATCGCCAGCTAACCAGGCTCAAAGCTTGCTAGCTGATCCCATACACGTACAGATGTGAGCGCACATGTGTGCGCACACGTAAATGAGTCCCTTCAAGAGCTGGCCAGACCTATGGTATCTCCATCAGTCAACTCTCAGTACCTCTGGCCTCTCCGGTATCTGAATCCTACACTGAAGGTCTCCTGGACAGCTGGCTCCCACACCTTGTATTCTGCTTGCCATCTAGTCTTGTCTTAAGTTCGTTAGCATCTCTCAAAAAAAAGGTTCCCCCTGGCAGCAGGTCCAGAAACAGTCCCTCTGGTAGCCAACCCACAGACCTGCAGGCTTTCCTGCCTTGTCCCCCAGACCTATGTATGATCTCTCTGTAGCTGTCTCCTACTGGCAAGCTAGCCTGGCTTGAAGATCGCTAGCATCTCTCATGCTCTCACACGCACAAGGGAAAGCATACTCACATGGAAAATACTTAAGAATAAAGTTTAATAAGAAGATAGGACAGACGGCAATGCTAAGGCATGGGGCTTGGTCAGACAAGCATACTGACAAGCGGCTTGTTTACACCAAGTTTATTCCCTCTCTTTGCCATTATTCTATGCCTGTTCTTTCCCATCTGCCTTGCCCCATCCCTTTCGCAGCTCTTGTTTCCTCCCAAATAAACAACCCACCCATAATTACTATTTGTTCATTGGTCCCACTTTTGCTAAATTTTGTATCTTCAGACACCATTATCTAGGTAAGCTTGGCCTTAAGTGGTAGCGCTGATACGGGTACCTAGGCACTCTGCTGGCCTTGCAAACTCTATTCCACAAAAAGTTCCCAGTGCCAACATCCGATTGTCTGTGAAGTTTGGCCATCTTTCATGTAATTCCCCCTTAACCACTTGCACCATACAGTGCTATCTAATGTGTGTCTGTTTCTCGCAGACAAAATTTTTATGTTTATATTTTTATGTCTAGCAATTTCTCATGCCATGTGCAGTAGTTTCCCTTGGGGAAAGTCATCTGCTAGCGTACCTTAACAGTCATGATAGTTAGGCAATTAATATCTTTGCTGACTTTTGAAGAATAGTTTCCAAGGCTGACGACATGTATTTTCTAGAAAACAATAAACTGTTTTGGCAATGTTTTGCATAGCACTTAGTATATTGCTTTACTGTTTTGCAGGCTCACATTTTCCTGTGGGAGTTGTACCACCCAGAACCAAATCACCAACACCAGAGTCTTCAACAATAGCATCCTATGTTACTTTGAGGAAGAATAAGAAGATAGATCTAAGAACGGTACTTTGAAATAACCTTCAAGCATTGATGGATAGTGATGTGTTCATTTCTAAGTTTAATTTCTGTAGTTACTTCAAAAGTTGTAGTTATCTTTTTAATTTTCTTTACAAAAAATTCGCTGTTACAAAAACATAATATACTAAGTTAATGGAGACAGCTGTAGAAAGGATGACAAAATTATAAAGGTAGTGTATGTTAAACTGCATAGAGACACTCAAACTGGGCAAGAACTAAATGGTAATGATAAATCTACTAACGTACTGAAGTTCAGGATTGAGTTGAAAGGACATGAAGCATCTTAGGATAAAACCTTGAAGGACTTGTACCTGGCTTCTGGGGCAATTTAACAGCCCTTGTATAACAAATACTGGCTTTAATTTATTTCATTACTAAAATGATTTGGGAAATACCTAAAGCAGACAGAAAATAAGGATACAGTAAGCAATATGTGGGCAATAAGCCTAGAATTTCAGATTAGAGAGTCCTCTAGTCTCTGGGTTGAAGACAGACATTTACATGTAGTTCATGCAAAAGGGAGGCAAACTTTTGCCACAATTACAGCATGAATAGAAGAGGAGAAGTTGTAGGAAGAATAGTAGAGGAGAGAGAAACTCACAGGATGTTGACTGGAGAAAGAATACCACTTTTCAGAAGTGAAATCAGTTGCTGTGAGTGTACTGAATGCAGCTGATTAGTCCAAAGTAATTTTTTTTTTTCTGTCATACAAAGTAGAGATCTATCCGAAAATCAGTGAATTTCAAGAACAGAGTAGATAAAGTGATGGCTGTTATTTTGGGAATAATATAATGCTTAGAATTACAGATTTTTAAGTGGTGATAAATTCACTTTGTTTCAGCCTGCACTTGCTGTTAAATGATGGCCAGCTGTAGTTTTTCTTGAAATAAAAAGGCAGAAATCACTATTAAATCAACTGGTATAAATGTCCTGGATCATTAAATTTCGATTGTGTTTCTGTCTCGGTCGAGTAACTTGAGTTTGCCTGTCATTTCACGTCTGGTAAATTGTTTCAGCTTGATAGGATGGCTTTAAGAGAGCATCTACCCATTCTTTTAATGTATATCATTGATGGTGGTAATGTCAGTGTTCAAAAAAGCAAATTACTCCTTCCTTTTATTTTGAATTTCGGTCTTCATTTATTAATAATTGGTTCTTGTACTTTCTTCACATACACAGGAGACCTTTACTTGCCCGCTATTTTTCTACTTTTTAGTAAATCATTAGGTGGTCTTTTCTATCAGCTAAACAGTTTAGAATCTTGCTTTTTTAAAAAAGGGGAAAAAAAAAATATATATATATTTTCTTCTATTTAAGGAAAGACCAAGAAGTGCAGTGGAGCAGCTGTGTCTTGCAGAAAGCACACGGCCTCGAATGACTGTGGAGGAACAGATGGAAAGAATAAAGAGACACCAACAAGCTTGCCTGAGAGAGAAGAGAAAAGGACTCAATATTATCGGTGTTTCAGACCAGTCTCCTTCACAGAGTCTGTCATTTGTCAGAGATAATCCATTCAAATTGGCACAGGTGGGTCCCACGTTATTCAAAAACTTTAATGTGTCCAATTAAAAAAAAAAGTTACAAAATTTTTCTTTTTCCAAAATCACATGATACTATAGGTGTTTATTTCAGACTGCTTTGCATAGAGTAACAGTCACAATTCTCTGCCATACACAAGAGAAAGGGAGAAGACAATCTTCATGCTTATACCTAATGATAGAAGAAGTCAATTCTTAGTCTTTTTGGAAAACAAATACTTCAAATCTACCTATGTTTGATTATGCATTGTGGTGTTTGTTAACAGGGAGTTTTTTGTCAAATTTAGCAAACAACATGAAATTGCAAGCTTTGTGACTAAAAGCAGTGTCAGGGAGAATCATGATTCAGTTGATGTATAAATTATGAAGATTTTTCTGCCATGTAATATATTCAAACATCTGTAAGGTTTTCAGGTAGGAATGTATATTTATGATGATAGCTCTTAACTGGTGCTCTTTTGCTGTGTTTTTTGAGCCCGTAAATACACAAAAATAGAACCCTCGCTTTTGTTTTCACTCATTCTTAAACAGTTAAGACAAAGAAATTAGTTTATTAAATGGTTAAGGGTAGGGAGAGAGGAAGAAGATATAACTGCTTGTCGTTAACCAGGAAATACTTACTATCCTGAATATGTATCTTAAAAAAAAAAAAAAAAAACAAAAAAAAACAAACCCAACTAACAAAAAAACCCCACACCACTTCAGGACAAAAATATCAAATAGATTCAGGGTAATGGATGTTAGACAGCCTACTATCTTCTAACTGCTAAGAATTAGTTCTTTTTCAATAGCTTAATAGAGTTATCTTCTTTTGTTTTTTTTTAAATCTTCTGGCATACTTTTTCCTCAGACCACACTGGTTTTGATTTTTTTTTTTTCTTTTACACTGACATAGAAATGCCTTCTTTTATGTTTTGTATACGTTTTAACATCTGATTTTCCAAAACCACATTAAATGCATTGCACTGTTAAGAAGTCACATATTTCCAAATAAGTTTTAGGTTTTGGGTTTTTTTTTTTTTCCTCCTCTGAGCATGCTAAATTGCTTTCAGAGCTATACAAGTTACTTTTCCTTCAACAACGTTGGATCCCCAGAAGACACTGAATTGAATTTTTGCCTTTGCATTAGAGCATCTGTATTTGGGATGACGTCATGAATGTTATACATGAAGGGGGCTCCTACAAATATTTTTGTGATTAACACTGACTTTCTCAAGAAGAGGACGTGCAAAGCAAAGCTCTGCAGGCATTTGTTTTTGTGGTTTTTACAGAGGTGTTTGAGCTTTACCGCTTTCCTATGGTATCATTTCATACCTCAAGTTGAGGAAACTGCAGTCATGTATGTGTCATACCTGGTTAGCCAGCACATTGGGAGCAGAGTCGGGGAAGTGGCCAAATCTTCTGTGTCAGCTCTACTTGCTATACAGAACTCAAAAGAATTGTGTTCATGTCAGCATGTTCTTGAGTCTTCTGTGTGAAATCAGTGCTACATGGATGAGATAGGAAGTTTATAGTGTCTGAATTGAATATTTAGCTAGCAGTCCATGCTACAAAATCACTTTTTGTATCACAACTTTAATTCTTCCAGAATGCTATTTGGCAAAAAGCCCCAAGATGAGGTGTTACACTCTAGTGATAGCTCTTATTTTTAAAAGCGTAGTTTCTATGCCTGTTTATTTTTATACAGGAAAAAAAGGTGCAATGGCATGAACTGCTGGAAGTCTTTTCAGCTGGGGTTTGGTTATTTAAGAATGAGAGGAAGAAAGGGATTTTATAAACAGCCTACTGTGTAATTTTTAAGTGATTACCAAAATACAAAAGGAAGTTGCTTCACAATTGTTACTGTTTGGGACAAGTGTAAGATATGGGTGCATACTTCAGTTAGGAAAGTAAAAAGATTGATTTGTGAACTGACTTACATGGAATTTCCTCTTAGCAGAGAACATGTGCTAAATCACAGGAATTCAGCCACAAGATTTACTACTTTCATGGCGCCTATTTTTCTCAGCCCCAGTAAGATAAGATTTACGTGAACCTCGCTTCAGTTCGGTTTGCTACTCTGCCAACATAATGTTCGCAGTTCACAATCTGAAGTCACCTCTACCATCCTTCCTCAAAATTTTTGTATCAAAGTATTCTCTGTGCAATAGATTTTTTTTTTTTTTAAAGGAAAAAGTAATATCCTCTACCATTATCAGATGCTATGTTGTCCTCTGTTAAATCAGTTAACAGCATAGGCTTGGAAGATACCCAAGACAACTGGAGAAAGTGCATGCAGGTGCACTTTGAATTTTCTATTGAGAGCAGATTTTTATCCATCCTTGGTTTTTTTTTTTTTTAACCAGGAAAAGCTATTTTTAAAAAAATCAGTGCTTATGAATGCAAGTAAGAATGTTCCTAAGCCTGTGTGCGACTGAGCTAAATATGAACGGAACTTCAGAAGATAAAGGTGACTAATGGAAATGCTGGAGATTTGAGGGGCATGCAGAAAGTACAATAATCTTCTAGAGAAAAAAAGTATTACACAGGCTGAACTGTTTTGAAAGGTACAAAAATGAGAAAATTCTAAGTCCTCAAAAATTTCCATTTTCGTTATTGCAATGTGGTATGCTTAAGGTTTTTTATGTTGGGTTGTTTTGGGGTTTTTTTTAACACAGTCAGAGGACGGTGCAAGACTCAGAACTGAGACTGTGATAACTTTTTTAAGAATACGTCTATATATCAATTTTGTTCTACAGAATCGAAAAAAGGATGATACTGTATCTGGTAACATGAAGGAATTAGAGAGCACCAGTAAAGAAAATAATTTGAAACAAAATAGTGAAAGTCCTGGAGAAGAAATAGCACAACTAAAACATGATGGAGAACAAGAACATAATTCAGGTTTTACTAAAGAGGTACTAAACTATCCTTTATTGAACTGTTCATCAGCCTGTCTTGCAGTAGAAAAATATTTTGAGCCACAGACAGCAGAGTATGGGAAATTGAGCCAGTTCCTTTTGTTTGGAAGATTAAGATATGTTTTTGGATATAAGAAATATTCTATAGAGAAGTGCAAAATTGTATCAGATTTGTCTATAGCTGAGGAATTGAATTTTCTTGTGTGTAGTCTTCCTAAATTTCATTTTACTTAACTTTACCGTGTTGCTTTCTTGATTGATTGGTAAATTACAAAATTACGGTCTTTGCTTCTTTGGAAATAAAACCAATACTAATGTATCTTTAAATAATAATTATTGATTTGTCCATTGCTTAGGATATCCTAGTGTAGTTCTTTACAATCATTTAACACACCTGATTTTTTTTGTTTGCTTGGCTTTAATGCATCAAATAGTTTATAGGAAGCAGACTAAAGCTGACACAATTTATACATGGAAGTAGGCAGTAACTGTAGCATTTGCTATTTGGTCACTGGATTAATTTCTGTCTTGAAATAGTCTCGCACTCACTTGGCAGTGAGTTACCTTGGTGTTTCTGATACTACAGTGCCCTGAACACTCAGCAAAAGCAGACTGACTGTGAAGAACAGGTTACTGGAGTTATTTCAACATAATCATATCCTGTTTATAGTTTAATATTTTTTTGTCATTCATTTTCCCTTTTGTTTTCCTATTTTATGTTTAGCTTTTTTTAAACATATGTCTGATGAAGAATGGTATAAAATCAAATAATTAATATGTGTTGTTATTCGCCAAAAACACTTTGTATCGACAGTCTGTTGCTTTAAGTATGCAAATCGTTTAAAGGAAAATTATGTAATACACTTACATTGGTTATATCTAATCAGGCCTTTAAGAGCAGTGTTCAGGCTCATCAGCAATATATTCCAGTAGCTGGAATCTGTTGGTATGGTGAAGAGAGGGATAGCATGAAAAAATAGGCAGGCTGCAATCCAAAGAGTTCAAAGAAGTTCTGGAAGTTATTAGGCCAAGCCCTGCCCATTGGCTCTGCTATAAGTTTCAGGATAACTCTATTAACCTGAATGGTATTGATAAAAATTTCTTAAGTTATGTAATTCTGAGTTACTAAGTATACATGATGGCAAAATTTGTCTGTTAATAAAACTGCTTCCTGAAACTGTATTTCTTATCTACCACTTAGTGTGTGTTACAGCTTTTTGTTTCATGATTTCAATTTTTTTATAGCTGACAAAAACTGATGATCTTTTATCAGATGCACATGTTGTATCTGACTCAAAAGAAGTGAGTAATGAAGGGAAAGCAGAAAAGGAAAAGAAAAATAAATTGGAAGAAACACATGATGGTGATATAAGGTAAAAATAAAACAAGATGTCCAGAGGCTATTTTAAACTTGCACATTGTATTTATTAGCTGAAAGGACCAAGCAACTAATGAAATATTGTCGTAAATGCTTATAAGGTATATTTATACGTCTTTGAGTGGTTTACATATAGAGAAATCTAGTGAGAAACCTAACCACTGCAGGGGTTCAGCGAGAGGTGATGAGTTGGTAGGAGGAGCAATATTTATTTTCAGCTGTTGCCCCGGTTATGGACAGAATATGCTCATAATCCTTGCTTTGGGATACAAAATGTATTTAGTAATGTCAGTTCAAGATTTGTACCAGTTTATTATGAATGCTTCAGCCAGTGCTTCCGTAGCAAGCTCTTTACCGCTGGTATTTAGGAAAGCATCACATTTAGGAGTAGAATAAACAGCTTATTCTGTATCTCCTGCTTTAACTTTTTCTTCACTATTTTGGAGTATTGCAGAATTAGAGGAATATTGTGTCTTGGATAATCCTCTTTAAGGATTCATAACTTTATTGTAAGTTGCACTGCAGATCCTAAGTGAGTTCTTACATTAGGTCATAACTTACAGCACCCTTCAGCAAAATAGGTATCACGCAGAAGGAAACTGTGTGAGTATGTAAAGGAAAGGAATTCAGTTTCCAGTGCTTGCTTTTTTTTTCTTTTTTAAACTCGACTTTACAAGGTAGAAGGGTTTCAAAATACGTCCTTAATTTATATTACACAAACTTGCAAGTTGCAACTTTTTTCTATTAACAGAAGAAAATTAAATTGTAACTCCTCTATTTAGTGGTTAGCACCTGAAATTAAGTTAGAGTTCTAAATGCTGTGCTTTTTTTAACCAGCTTGCAGAGTGTGACCACAGTTACAAACCACAAACCCAAAACCAGCTCAGAAGAAAGTGAAGTAGTTAGTGTTCAAGAACAAGGAGGGATTATTTCTTCATTTGAATTAGCAGCACAGTCTTCAAAAGGAAATCAGGCAACAGCAGGTATGGAAAAGAGTTTGACTGAAGTACAGCTTATACAGTACATATGTAAAACTATTTCATTTTGATCGTGTCTTTTGATGCTCTGAAACCCTTGTGAGTTGAAAGTGCTGAGCTAGTCTAGATGTCAACTGTATGGTTTTATAATGTAGAGAAAAATAGTTTCCCAGCGGACAACTACAGAAATTCCATTTTTCTGAGATTTTAATGTAAATCTTATGCTTGCATTTAATTCAGGGAATTAAATAACTATTGCCAGAAATTGAGTCATCCTATAGTTGTTGCTTGGACCAAATCCTTCCCTATTCATCTTGTAGAACAGCATCTCAATCCTGGATAGGTATAGATTATTTGCCCTTACCTCCTTGCTAATAGATGGCTTCAGGTATGCCCAAGATTGAGGAATCCTTGAGAGTTTCCAATATATCTAGTAGATTTTGAACTAGCAAGTAAAAGACCCCAGTTTGGACATGCTTTCAGGAGTAAGAAAATATGAAGAAACAGAAAACGCTAGCTGACCGGTAAAACAACTAGTGGTGTACTACTTTGCAAGAAGAGAAGGCTGGAGTAAAGCAAAATTGTTTGCAAAGAGAAAAAAGGAGGGGAGCGTGTAGGGGAGGAGGAACGAAGAAGATAGAATTTAAGACATTATTAGGATCTTTGGTGATGGGAATGGTTAAGTAAGCCAAATGGTTCAATTTATGGATATAAAAGGTGACCTGGACCTTTGTAGTGCAGTCAGCAATCCCTTCTGTGACTTGATAATCAAAACCAGAACTTGTAAATACGTTTTATAGTGCTCAGCAGAATAAAAAATGCTTAGTTAATCTGAGCTGGGGTATAAAGGTGGGTCTGGGAGCATGCCGACTAGTTAAATTTTACTCTTTTTTTCCTCTCTCTTTGCAACATAAATAACACATCAGCATTCATGTGTCTGTTGTTTGTTCCTTAGGTGTTCCACTAGTCATTTATAGGCCTGAGTAATGATCTTTCCTGAGAACGGCTGTGCTCTCCCCTGAACTTGTGCTCATTGCGCTGATCAGATTTTAAGCCTTTACTTTCATTTGGTTCTGCTTATGTTTATTATGGCTTGAAATGGTGATTTTCAAGCTTATATTTATTATGGCTTGAACTCATGCCTTCTGTAACTTGTATTCTTATTTATCTTGCTGTATGACTCGCAGTGAAAAGTTTGCCTTCTTCACCAGAATCGTCATTGTCACCAGCTCCATCTACACAGACACAGCTCACAGAAGGATCACATTTCATGTGTGTATAGTTACAGAGAAGTACGTCTTTTTTTCCCACCCCTCCTGCCATTTCCCTAATATTTTTCAAAGTATATGTATTCTAGGTTTTTTTGCGAGAACCATTTGTAGACTAATACTTGGCAAGACAAAGTTATTTGCAATGTTGAATACAAACTAACCAGAAAACAAAAGAAATGCAGGTATTGATTTGCTTGCAAGTAATGTGTTCTCTATCCAAATACAAAGAGAAAGGACTAATTGGCTTATCAAGCACATTCTCCACAACTGGCAAGATAATAGGCCTTTGAATTACATAGGAGACCCAAGCTGTTACAAAACAGGTACACAGTTAAGGTGTGAGCATCAGTGCAGAGGTGCAAACAAATCGTGATTCTTAAGTTGTGGCAATAGGCAACTAGAGCTAGATCTCTTAGTGATGCGTAGGAGGGAATGGTCTAACGGTCCAAAGAGTTTATGGCCTAAGACATAGATAACTGAGGCATGACAAACGGGAAGGGAAAAAATGAGGGTGGAAGAAATATAACAATTACAAAACTTTTTTTTTTTTTCTTTCTATAGAGATAGCCCCACATAGCTTCTCTTCCTGTGTCATAGTAGGTGGTTTCTTTTAGGAATCAAGTTAGAAAGCATGAGTTAGACTTGATTTACATGTTCATACCTGTAGTGTTACCTACTTAATGAATGGAAATACAAGTAAGCATATTTGTTTATACAAGTGTTTAAAGAAATTAATAGGATACCAGTGTGAATGCTTCAGCACTTTACCGGCATTTAAATCAATCCACATTTCTTTGTTCTCAGGAAGTACCTGTTTAAATAAGCTTTCTGCTAAAAGAATGAACTTTGTTTCAGTAGTAATGTTAAATGCCATAGCCAATATAACTTAAGAAAACTTTAAAATCAAGAAAACTTTAAAATCGAGATGTTTTCAGTCATTTAGCATGAGCTCGGAAAATGCTTTTTTTTGTTTTTTTTCATTTACTGTCCCAATCTGTATTGCCAAGCTTTAATCTTAGCAAAATTAGACTTATTCATCACAGACACCTTTCTTGTATGAACTATGGCCAGGAAACTATTTATATTCTTAAAAAAAAAAAAAAGTGGGGGCAGAAATTATTTTCATCTTTTTCTCCTTTTGAGAGAGTGGAAAATGCACTCTTCACATTCAGTACTCACACCTGTGTTGCTGACTTCCTGATGGATGTGGTCTGTCATAATTAGATTTAGCTTGGACTTCTGTACTTTTATTGAAAAGTTTTATTACAGACCTATTTAAAAAAGATGAGTGGGACTATTCAGTTTTTCTGGAAATACTGATTTGTATTAATGCTTTTCAGTTTCACTGTATAAATACACATGCATTTATCATGCATCTTCTTTTTAAATAGGACAAACACTACCCCATCAACTCAGTTTCAGGTCAGTAGTGAAACTGAAACTGCACTGCTGAATTCCGTCCGGAACCACAGCATGCCCCTCTTGAAAGGGGAAGCAATCTATAACTTCACCAGAAATTTTTTACCAATTGCATTAAGTTGCTTTCAGCTCTTGTCATCAGCTCCAATGATCAGATCAGCAAATTATTTTTTTTTTTTAAGTATTTATGCTAAATGTGAGATGAGCGAAAGTGAAGCACTTACATAGTGATCTGCTTTGTAACTTAATGCCCAAGCCTTGACATCCCACAGCGTGGTGTATCCTCATAGGTGATACTGTAGCTGTAACATTTCCATGTTAAGTACGATTCTACAAATAGGCTTTAATTGCTTATGACAAAACAGTGAATCTGGGATGGCATTTGTAAAACTAATGCTCTGCTTACACATGCCTTGCTATAATGAACTTAAAATACACCCCTTTTGGCTGTTTAGTATTTGAATTGAGTTGAAAAAACTGCGCGCATCTACATTCCACATTTCTTTGCTGCGCTTGATGCCTCTGTTGGTTGTTTCCTAGGAGCCCCAAAACAAATTTATGCCATGAGCTGGGCCTAGTATACATAGATGTATGAAGCATAGTCTGCTTGCCTGCAGTATTTACTGCCCCTTACCTTCTGGGGCTGCTCTTCCAGTATTCCAGTGTTTTGCGCATTGTTGAAAGATAGGTCTTTTAACGTGCGAGAACTCAGTGTCTCTCAGATGCAAGAAATCCTATGCGGCAGAGGGGACTTCAGAGCTGCGGGATCAGCCCTGTTCATATGCAACCAAATTTTTCAGGCAGCATCTGGAAAATGTATGGTAGATTTCAGAGAATAATGAGGTAATACCTATATTTGGCTTTTACGGTCAATTAGTAAAATGATACTCTTGGCACGATGCCGGGGGAATTTGGCATAGGAAATTGGTGGCACAGGATATTGTAGGACTAAGGAAAAACCCATTAACACAAAGCTACTTTCTTTGTCACGGCTCTTGCTTTGCAGAGACAAATCTGGATGCATACCACTAACGTCGTTACGTTTTAAGCATTACATTTACACTGAGTAATGGAGGGATAATGAAATTTTATACAGCACCTGGATCCAAAGCTCAGAAACATTTTTACTAACGAACTGTTAAAAGCTATTTATAAGTCCTTTCAGCAGTCACCAAAATGCAGCAAGCTCTGGGTGGAGCACTTGAACTTCAGAACACCTTACAGCTATGCTGCCATTACAGCAGAGCAACTCAGTAATGCTGCATCCCTCTTCAAACGGTGCCTGTCATTTGTAAGAGCAACTAGGGTCTTTGCTATTGTTACCAGTTTTATATAAAGAACCTTTGGAGATGGCCATGTACAACAGGATAAAACTCTCAGAATAGACAGGCTTTCATACAAAGTGTAAATTCAAAAAAAGCTTGCATGTGCTTCTTGCTGTCAAAGTATCTTGACAGCAGTATTATTCATCAGGAAAATTGATTTTGGAAACAACTGATTTCTAAAATACTTTATTATGTTCTACACCACTGATAACTACTGCTAGGATGAGGTCAGAAATTCCTTGCTGTGTTTAATCCCAGGAGTTGCTTTATACAATATTCTGTTGTTGCTAAAATAGAGTAACTTAATCTATGTCTGTCTTTCAGCGCTAATGGCTTCTGTTGAAACAATTCATGCCAGAGATGTATGGACCTGACCTATGAAAATAAGAGAAGATATTGTACAGTATATTTTAAAACTATGAAATTCATAGTTCTGATGCTTTTGGCCACAGAGCATCATTTTATCACTTCCTGGAAAATGTTTATTCCAAGAGAGCTTTAAATGGCCCACATGTACACTCAACAACCTTCAGATTGTTCTCCTGATACCAGCTTGCTGCTATGATTTCTGTGCACATAAAATAAAGGCTCTTTCTCGTGTGCAGCCTACAGTCAGAACCTTATTTGATATTCTCCAGAATTTAATGTTCTTTTAATTATGGATCATATAAGTTTACTTTTTTGCCTCTTTTAGATGCATAACTCGGTTAATTTTACATATTGCCACTAAACCTTGTTTTACACTTTTTAAACACTACAATTTATTGGTTTAACATCTTATTTGTAAAATTTTTATATATATATACATATAGATATATTTAAAATGTGCCATTTTTATAATTGCTTAGTAAAATATGTCCTGTTTCTGCTGTAATTATTTCTTGGTCAGGTTGCAATGTCAGCAGTTACTGCCACACTTCTGTCAACATATGCATTAACATTAGTGGTTACTTTTTCTTAAATAAAATGGAGTGTAGGTATTTTGAGGTACTGGGCTTTTCCTTCGTTGGGTTAGGGTGTGTACAGCAATAAGCAGGTTTTCAATCCAGTACTTAGTTTGTGTACAAATGTAATTATGTTCATTGTGTATATATTATACAATGAGCACATACGATGTAAGTATAAGAAGCCACTTATTATTGTTCAAATACGAATGTTCATATCCCATTTCTTTTATATCATATTAAATAAATGTTGATGTTCTTAAGGACTTGTATGGTTAGTATTTCTTCCAGCAAACGGATGTCACACTGTGTTCCACCTTTTGCTGTGGGGAATGCAACAATTCTTATCTCATTGGCGACATCACCTGTCAACCAGAGTAGCAGTGACAGACTCTTAAGAGATTCCAGTCTTCCTCTACGGGAAAGAATAAGGCTGCAACACAGAACAAAAAGACAACCTGAGACCGAGACACAAGAAATACAAGTTCAGCTCCTGACTCTCCCAGACTTGTATCCTGATGGTGGAATAATCACTTAGTCATTCTGTGCCTCCACTCCCTGCCTGTTTACTTGAGAGGTAATAGCCTGTCTTACTGGGGTGTGGTGAGTAGTAATTCAGTATTTGCAAATGTTGAATGCCACGTTCAGTGGGGTTCGGGAGAGAAGTATGATGATTCCTTGAGGCTTTGACATCTGCAAAGCATCATCCAGAAACTGAAAGAAAACCTGAAATAATTTGTCAAGTGTCATCATACTACAGATGTTACTAGCTTCCCTTTTCCATCTCACACAGCTGTCTGAATTTGCCTGAGACAAAAGAGGTTTAGAAAAGAATGATGAAAAATGAAAAGATTTAAGGGAAGGGTTTTGAATCTAGGATTTAAAGTTAAGAAATCTTTTAAAGGTTCAGGCAACTGCTGCATGCTTCAGTGCACGTGACGTGTGCCATAAATGGTGAAGCAAGTTTCATAAGATGACGACTGCCAGCTCCTGTTGTGCTTTTTTATCATACAAATCATATCCTGTTCAAGTTAATGTTGCTGTACTAGAGACTGTATAATTAATTGTGCTTTTCCATAGAGGAGTGCCTGAGATTGACACACAGTTTGAAATGAACTCTTTGGCATTGCCCCCCTAAGTAGGAGTTTGTGTTCGTTGTACTCTTCTGCCATTCCCATCTCTGCTGCCAGTTCTTCCTGGGGCTCTTTGCCACGAAGACAGAGAGTACGCTGTCTGTCTGCCTGTCGTTTTGCCGTTTTCTTTGAAAAGTGAAGAAACGGGAGGCAGAATTTAGCAGCAGAGCTCAGAGGGTCATAGTGAAAGAGATGGCTGAAGGAAAGAAGATGAATCATGATGCAGGCAGACAGCATCCAGCTGAAAGTTTGACCAAATAGCTTTTTTGGAACAGTAGCCCCAAATTAGCGCATCCTTCCATCCAAAACACAGAGCGAACAAGAGGAACATGATTTTTATCGCTCAGCCAGCTGAGGTTTAAGTTCAGTGGCATCAGTGGAACACATGGGGCAAAGCAAATATGACACACCCTGTTCTCTCCCTAACCCTTCTAGAGCGAGCTGTTCAGCTGTCAAGCTTTGCAATCTCTTTCTGTCCTTGCTGCCAAGAAAAGAATTGCAACCAATAAAGGAAAGAATGACTAAGTGGTTTTTGGACATTTATAGATCTTGTCTGTGTTTAAAGCAGTTGTCAGTTTGGTATATCTGCAAAGTACGTGCGGTTTATACTGAAGCTGGGGGAGGGTGGGAGGATTACCAAGGTTTTGCTGGTGTAACTGTTGGCAAAGACAGCAAATGTAAATGATGCAGGAATGTATTAATGCTCATAGACTGTAATTTCGCTTTCTGTGGGCACTTGCAGCAAAGACTTGCAGTTTCATTGGGTGCTCTATTTTTTTTTGTGTCTTATGGAAAAAACGTACAGCTTTGTGTTATCACAGAGCATCTGCTGTCTCTTACCTCGTCAGAATAACTCATCCCAGTGATCGTACTCCTGAGATATACAAATATCAGAATACTGATATTGTCAGCCTTCAAACATCTATTTTAAGTTTGTATCTAGGATATTTTTATATTTCTGACTGATTGCTTTATTGGCTATTGCACTGACACTTGTATATATGGAACATGTGCTTTTTTTTTAAAAGCCAGAGTCCTTAGGAATAATGCAACACATTCTCTACAGATGTTCATGCTTTTCAGAACCAATTACATCTATTTTTGTCTTTTGTTCACCATTTGCATTGTTCCAAGACTACTAGAGAATGTGATTCTTTTAAGTCCCTTAATAAAGTGACATTACTCAAAAAGTTATAGTTGGTGTCTTGGCAGTTTTTGTGTGTCGTGGACTGGCTCACAGAGAAAGACCTCACCAGGCAGTTGAAACCCAAACCTTGTTTATATTATTACTGAGGGGGAAAAAGTAGTCTTCACTTAATATTTCCTCATAAATATGTCTGTCACAAAATGAATCCAGTAAGGTTCTATTTTCAGGAAATCAGAAAAATTTTAAGCAGTTCATTTCTGTCTAGATGGCTTTAATTGGACAGTCTAGGAAAGAATTATTACCCACCCTAGTGGATGCACTAGATGTAGTAACCAGGAGTACATACATGAAAAATGTTAATGGATTACACTGTTAGTAATAGATCTACTAAATTCTCTACTACTTGGACTGGTGGCATAACTGTTATCCTGGCTGAGTAAAGCAGCAGAGTGGAAGATCTTTAACCAGTGGTGGTGCTGGATAATTCTTACTCCAAACTTTTTATTATATTGTAACAATAAGGTGGGTTTTTTTTTTCCTTTCTAACAAAAGAAACCATAAATAGTACTCATTCAGATCTCAGAAGTGGGTCATCATGTCTTTTCTGCACAATACTTTTTTTATCCCTGTGATCCTGGATTTTGCTGTACTTACTTTCTTAAGTTATTCTAGGCTAGTTTAATCTTATTTCAGTTTGAATCCTCAGTTAAAATGTTATTTTCCATCCTTTGGAAAGTTGACATTTAAATGGCCAATGAACAAATTGCCTATACCTGGCATTAATAATATATCTGAAACAACTTAATTTAACTTTTTTAAGGATGCATGTGAAGATAACAAAGCAACATCTGGCCTTCATTTCTTCTAAAGAACATTATATATACTTGCTGTTATATCCTTGGAGCTGTTTAGCTTGTCCATATGGGAACACTGAAGAAGCTGCTACAAAATAAAATGGAATATACTGGTGGCTGAAAGCAGACGTCTGGCCCAAAATGAAGGCTAAAAACAGCTGCTTTCTGAACTTGACACGCACAACTTGTTACCCAGCTGTTCCAGATGTGTCAGTATTCAAATATTACTTGTGGAATGAAGTTTTTGGTATTTCTTTGGTGATGTTTCTTCATTCTGTCATATGCCAAAGAAAATGTTTTTAAGGTGTGTCTAAATGTTATCTAGCTGCTGTTGTGAAACTGCAAGCAACTCTTAATTGGTAGCTATGGGTAAGTAAGATCACCACAGTGGTTCCTAATTGGCTCCTGTGGCAGTCTTGCTATGGATGTGTTTAAGAACACTTACTTAGGCTGGGTTAGGTTGTGTTTGGAATAAAAGAAAAAGCTGTAAGCAAATGGTGCTGTTTCCAGTGGACTGCTGTCGAGTACAGCAGGACAAAACCAGATGTGATCTCATTAACTTCTTTATTGCTGAAACCAACCCTAAAATAAGGAATTAATTTTTTGTCAAATTCTATCCAGATCCCTGTTCTATGGCACAGGAATACTTCAAAGAATTTCAGACTAAAAATGGAAACACCCTCTTCCTCTTTTGAAGGTGAAATGAGTACTGTTTAAAAAAAAAAAAAAGGCAGACCCCGCAGGTTTAACTTGATACATAGGAGAAGCAAGATTTACTTACGGCCTAGAGATTTGGTCAATGAAAACTTTCAGAAAAATACCTGATCCTCATCTGTTGTCATCTGGTAGTTTTCCTGAATCACAGCTGAAGTGACTGGCACTGTCCAGGACTCCCTTCTGCAACTTGAAATCCACTCCAGCCCAATGTGCAAAATAGTCTGCGTTCCTTGTATGGAGAAAAAAAAAATGCCTTATCCATACAACAGCTATCTGTCCTTACATAAGCAGTTGAATCCAGGCCACCACCTTCTTGCTTGAAATTGCTAAAAACTGCAGGTGCTTAGCATCTTGAACGATCAAGCTCAAAGCATATCATGTGAGGCACCCAACATTTCCAAGTACCTTGCATATGAATCTCCCTTATTTTCAGCAGTAGATTCTATTTGGAAGAAAAAAGGTTTGTCTGTTTGTTTTTTTAAAGTACTAGTCACATTGCTAGAAATCAAGCAATTAGTAGATACAAACATATATAAGTATTTAAGAAAAATGTCATTAATTGACAAGAGTACATTTCAAAGCGATTGAAAAAAAGCTGCAAAATTGAGCAACTCTCAACCGATAAAAACCACCTCGTCACAATATTAATTTCTGCTGAGTCTTGACACTGATTACATGTGTAGTCAACTGCTCTGTATTGTGCAACTTCCTTCTTGGTAAAATCCCAAGTCAGCAAGAATGTGGAGGCTGTTCAGATGTTTTAGCTTTAAAGATGAATGATTTTTTTTTTTTCTTTTTAAAATTTTCATACTCA